TGGGCACGGGGGATGGGGACACCCAGTGCCAGGTGAGGGGGACAGGGACACCCGGAGCTGGGGCTGGGGGGACAAGGACACCTATGGCTGGGCACAGGGGAAAGGGACCTTGTTATGGCCCCCTCTGACCTCCCACACCCTCAGGGCCCTCCTGTCACCCCTGTCCCTCCCCCTGTGACCCTCTGACCCCCTCAGCCCAGGGTCTCCCTGACCCCTCTCTTTGTCCCCACAGGTGGGAGCCTCCCCGGGAACTCCCCCCACCTCGGGGGACTCCTTCTGGCCACCGTGGCCATGGTGGTGGCCATTGGAACCCTCTAAGCCATGAAGCCATGGAGGTCACTATGTTCTTGGAGGACACATGGACACCATGGTCCTGAAGGCTACCAGGATCCCCGGAGAAATGGGCCACTGTGGGCTCTGTGGTCACATTGGCCACTGTGACCACTGTGGCCATTATTGCCACTGGGACCACCGTGACCACAGTGGCCATTATTGCCGCTATGGCCACTGTGGTCACTGTGACCACTGTGGCTGTTATTGCCGCTATGACCACTATGACCACTGTGGCCATTATTGCCACTATGGCCACTATGGCCACTGTGACCACTGTGGCCATTATTACCACTGTGGCCACTGTGACCACTGTGACCGCTGTGACCACTGTGGCCATTATTGCCACTGTGGCCACTGTGACCACTGTGACCGCTGTGGCCACTGTGATCCCTGTGGTCACTGTGGCCACTGTGACCACTGTGACCACTGTGACCGCTGTGACCACTGTGACCGCTGTGACCTGCCGCGCTCCCGCCCCAGACCCTCGATCTCTCCAGCCCCGGCTAGCTCTTCTTGGGGCGAGAGTGGGCAGTGGAGGCACCCCCCGCTGCTCCGTAATAGGGTTTGGAGGGTGCCTTTGTGGGTCGCTGGGATGGCGCTGGCAAGCCTCGTCCGTGTCAATGAAAGGCGGATCCAGGTGGGGGCCAAAAACCTCTTTTATTCCTGGCCAACGGGGCCAAATGCACAGAAGTGGTGCCAACCACCTGGAACAATTGGGGGGGGGTCTGACACCAGACTATAAACCTTATGGGAGTGGTAAGCTTTTAGGGAAGGATGCTGGGGAACCAATGGGGAAAGGGGAAGGGAGTGGCTCCGGGATGGGGTGATCCGGCCTGGTCCAATGTGGTAGGGGAATGGGACGGGCCCCAGGCCCTCGTCCTATCACTCGGTGCCCTGAGCAGAAGCTTCTAGATGGGGGGAAGGAACACCGAGTGACAGACAGGGTACCTGGGAGGGGAAAAGGGGGGAACCGCGCCTCTCCAGGGATGATGGACAAATACCGGAAAGGCGGGAAGGGAGGACCAGGCGGGAAGACAGGGGATAAACCAAGTGGGGGTAGGGGTGTACAAGTGCAAACCAACCGAATAATACAAACATATAAAAACATGTACAAACATATAAATAGCACAACTCCACATCTCCCCCTTTTTTGTTTAAAAGAAAAAGAACGGGAGGAGAGTAAAAATAAGTCTTTAACTGGGGGTTTTGCAGTCCACGGGCTCGTCTTCAAACCATATGTTTTCCCCTTCGGAGGGATTTTCTTCTTGTTGTTCTTCTTCGTTGAGGGGTTTAAGTTCATATGGCTCGGCTAGTGTGGCATGATTGATGCTGATAGTAGAATTGATGGCTTTCATTAACAGTTTTTTGATCACGCCAAAGCCGATGATAAAGGCAACGAGCCCTAGCAGCAGCATTAGTCCAGTTTGTAAGAGGGATTTGACCCACCCAGAGAGTCCCCATCCTTCAAAGAGAGAGTCCAGCCATCCTGCAGATTCTTTTTTCAAGTGGTGGATCATGCTCTGCATTTTATCGATGGTGGTGCGGACGTCCTCAGCCCTGGAACTTAAATTCATACAACACAAACCAGCGAATTCTTCACACTTATGGTTATGTAACAGTAAAAGAAAATCAATTGCTGCGCGGTTCTGGAGGGTGGCCTGTCTCGTGACTTCCTCATCTGCCAGGAGGTTGCTTAGAGCAGCTGATGTAAGATTGGCTTGTTTAGCTGCCCAGCATTCAAGGCCAGCCAATTCATTGAATGCTTGAGCAATTGCTATCCATGGTAAAAATGCAATGGTAGCAACGCTTTTTGCTTTTGCCCAATGAGTTATTTCATCCTTACAGTTTTCGTCCCAATCGGTGAATTCGGTATCTCTCTTTTTTCGTGCCAATTGACCTGTTTGATTTAGAGATTTCCAATGAGCTATATTAGTTTTATTAGGAGTAAACAAGCTCAGCTGCCCGAATGTGCATGGCCCTCCGACCAGGTGAGGGGGGATGCCTGCCCACGCTCTATCACCACAAATTAGGAACACACTTTTGGGGAGAGCGTGGGGTCGGTTGTCAGGGGTAGAAAAGCTTGGGATTTGTAACACCTGTTCGCACCAGTTTTTTGCTAAATATTCGGGGATGTTTTGTTTGATTTCCTTTTTGGGATAATTCAGGGGGTTATCAGAAACAAAGAAATGAATACAGGTATGGGCTAGGGTGGATCCAAGTAATTCTAATTCTTCGGGGTCTTTTTCCATTAAGGGGAGTGCCCCCACCCACCTTTTCCAGGGGTCACCCTTTTTCCAGGTGTGGGTGACAAAGATTTTTGCTCTGGGTTTGGTGGGTCGAGAGGGGGTTTTTGGGGGTAAAGTAAAGGGAAAATTCCATAGAGGGTACGGGATCCCCACGAGACAGGAAAGGAAAGGATTAGAGGCAGAGGAGGTGGACAAACATATATGGTCCTGATTTAAGGATTTGGCTAGAGTGGTCCACACATTAGCTGGGGGCTGAGGCACGATCCACGCTTGCAGGGGCCTCGAGATGATGGCAAGGCTGAGAAGGATGAGGCTCATAGTTGGTATCATTCTGGGTGGTCTTGCGGTGGAGTGTGTGCCTGGGGAGTAACTGAAAAATAAATTAATAATCGAGATCGGGGAGGTTTATTTGGTATAGGAACAACGATTCCCTGGAGCCAAGGGAAGGAGAGGGGGGATTGGGTGAGGGGGACCTTCTCCGCCGTCGGAGGGCGGCGTGCTCCACCTGAGGGCTGTTTGGCTCGCGTCTCTGGACTTTGGGGACATACGGTCGGACGAATTTAGAAGGGACCCATCTCAGGCCTGAGGGCGTGGATACGCAAGCGTATCCCCGACCCCAGGTGACTAAGTCATAGGGTCCCTCCTGCCGCCAGGTCTCAGGATCTTTTATGAGGACCGGCGGCTTTTCCCTGACTTGGCTCTGCTCATACGAATTGAAATGCCTCGCGATGGGGGGGTTGAGGCATCCAAAAGAGCAATTTAAAAAATTTAGAGTGAAAAGGGCCCGCGACAATTGAACCTGGGGGGACTCATTTTTTGATGCTGATCGCTGTTGTTTCAGCATCCTTTTGATGTTTTGATGAGTCCTCTCCACCACGGCTTGACCTGATGGGGAATAGGCGATGCCAGTTTTGTGTTCTATTCCCCATTGCTGCAGGAAGCCTGCGAATTCCCTGGAAGTGTACCCGGGGGCGTTATCTGTTTTTATTTGCTTTGGGACGCCCAGCATAGAGAAGGCTTGTATTAGGTGTTTTTCTACATCTTTGGCCTTCTCCCCTGTGTGGGCAGAGGCGAAAACTGCTCCGGAGAAGGTATCTACGGAGACATGGACGTACTTCATCCTCCCGAAGGAAGGGATGTGAGTAACGTCCATCTGCCACACCTCACAGGACTTTAGACCCCTGGGATTAGCCCCTGCGCTCACCGATGGTAAGGGGAGCGACTTACAGGACGGGCATGTGGCCACAATGGCCTTGGCCTGGTCCCGGGTTAGATGGAACTGCCGGACCAGACCAGGCGCATTTTGGTGGTAAAGCTGGTGGCTGATCTTAGCCTGTTGGAACTTGTCCGGGAGCGGCGCCAGCTGTGCGGGGGCGGCAGCGAGGGAATCGGCACGCCGATTGCCCTCGGCCAGGAACCCCGGCAGGTCGGTGTGTGACCTGATATGCATCACATAAAACGGTTGCTCTCGGTGGGAGACTAGCTTTATCAGCTTTGAGAGCAACTTGTTAAGGGCATCGTTGGAGACACCTTGCAGGATTGCATCCTGTGCTCTAGACACTACACCTGCTACGTAGGCCGAATCGGTAACCAAATTGAAAGGTTCAGAGAACCGCTCAAAAGCTCTAACGACTGCGGCCAACTCAGCTACTTGAGGGGATCCTTCCACCTCAACGACATCTGCCTCCCACCGCTGAGTTTGAGGATCTTTCCAAGTCACTACTGACTTGTGGGACCTTCCGGACGCGTCTGTAAAAACTGTCAGAGCCTTTAAGGGTTTTTTGCTCTGAATTTGTTTTGTTGATAGTGCAAATTGAACTTCCGAATTGAAAATTTTGTGGGCCGGTCTCAAAATAGAAATTTCTCCTGTGTAGCTGTCTAGCGCAAACTGCAATGATTCGTTTGATTGCAGCAGGTGTTCCAACATTGCCTTTGTAAATTGGCCCGATTCTAATTTTAAGGGAATGTGAATGCATTCGAAGTCACACCCTGCCAACTCCCGAATCCGCATTCTAGCTTTGCGGATTAGTTCCGCCACCAGCTCCTGTGGCTGTGTCATTCTCTTGGATCTAGAGTGACTCAGGAATACCCACTCTATGATGGAGAGTGGGTCCCTTTTGTCATGATCCTTGCCCTTCCCCAGGGTGTCTGTCCACTGGAAAATGACTCCATGGAGGTGTGGCAGTCTGCCCAGTATGATGAATTTGAAGGGCAGGCCCGAATCACACCTGTGGGCCTGCCTGGCAGACATCGCCTCCTGGACCCTCTGCAAAGCAGCTTTGGCCTCTGGAGTGAGTTCCCTGGGAGAACTAGGCTCTTCCCCCCCTTTCAATAAATCGAAAAGGGGGGCTAGGTCTTCGTTGTTAATACCTAACCAGGGTCTCACCCAGTTTAAAGACCCACACAGCTGCTGAACGTCTGATAAGGTTCGAATTGAATTTTTTATTGCCAATTTTTGCGGAACAATGGTCCGCTTGTTAATTTCCAAACCCAGGTACTTCCAGGGTGGCATCTTTTGAATTTTATCTTCTCGCAGCTCAAACCCTACAGCAACCAACGCATTGGTTGTCAGTTCAAGCGCGTGTGTAAGCAAATCGCTGTTGGGGGCACAAATAAGAATATCATCCATATAATGTTGGATGATCACGCCCTCGGTGGCTGCACGCACAGGGGACAGCAATGAAGAGACGTACCACTGGCAGATACTTGGGCTGTTTTTCATGCCTTGAGGAAGTACTC